CCACTTGTTACCAGTTACATAATTGCTTGCAAGGTATATAGAATGCAAGATACTACTGTACTTATTTCTTGACAATTATTTTAACAATTGTTTTGAGTAAAGCAATAATACTAGGTTGAGTTTATAGAGCACTTAAGATTTTTATATAATTTACACATTTTATCTATTTTGAACTTTACAACAATCCTCTGAAGTAGGTCCTATTGTTATTCCCTTTTTACAAGTGAGGAAAAGGAGGCTGAGAGGGTTAAGTGACTTATCCACGATCACACAATTAGTAAATGACTGAGGTAGGATTTGAACTCGGGTTTTCCTGAATGCAAAGTCAAGTGCTTTCTCCACCACACCAGCAGGCTACTTTCTACGACTCTCCTCTAATAAGATTATAGTATTCTCTATTTAGAATTGGCAGATTGACATAGAAGTCATCTACCTTATTTTAGAAATAAGGAAACTGAGACCCAGAGTGATTAAATAACTTGCCCATGGTCACTCAATGAGTAATAGGGCTGATATCTGAATCTAAGTTTTCTGACTCTAAATGCCTCCACTGTGTAAAAAAAAAAATCATAAAAGGATTTTTTTGAAAGATGAAGCAGAAATAACTTTAATTGGCATTCTGATAATTACTCCCAAGCAAGACATGAAACAGGTAGACATAAACCAAAAAAAGTTGGTGTAACTGTTGTGTAGAGATTTCTTATAGATGGTGAAGTTCTGCAGTACTCTGACTTTTGGATAGCATCATACTGATTACAGCATGGCATAACCCATCCATAGTCATTCATAAACATTCAGGTTATCAGTCTGCACTGGAAAATCAAAACAGATGAAGAATGTTGAATACCTAGACTATATCAAATTGGATACACAGACATTTGAGTTGGCCTTTCAGGACATATATTTTGGACAACAACACTGATGGACAGTGACCTTGAAACAATATTAAATAGGAGGAGAGTAGCGAGCTGGATTAAATTTGGAAAAGAGAAGTACTTTCAATTACTCCAAATTTTCTCTTGAAACAAAATAAAACAAAAACTGTGAAGATTGGAGATGACTTTTAAATTCCATTCCAATTTAAAATTTCTGATCTTAAGCATGTTCCCATTCTTTTGACGCTAAACACGTTATCCATGAAGAATAAAAATTATGAATCAGCCAAAGGGCAATGGAAAGATGCATGTTGTTGTTTAGTCATTCAGTTGTATCTGACTCTGTGATTCCATGGACTTTGTTTGTGAGTTTTTATTATCCAAGATACCGGAATGATTTGCCATTTTCTTCTCCAGTGTGTCCTTATTTTACAGATGAGGAACTAAGACAAAGAGTGACTTATCCAGGGTCACACAGCTAGTAAGTGTCTGAGGTCACATTTGAACTCAGATCTTCCTGACTCTAGGCAAAGTGTCTATCCACTGTATTACCTAGTTGACCTGTAGAGATACATAGTGGAAATAGAGTGAAATCTACTAAAATAATGGCTGGTGCTCAAAAACAACATAAAAGATATCATAAAGAAATGTGTGACAGGAAGAAAAGTGGACTAGTTATTTGGTAGGTGTGAGAAATAGTAGGACAGCTTTTATTCTGTCCCAAATTGTATCAAAAGAACTAGAGGAGAATCCTTCAGTATATTGGGAGGACTTCTTTGGAGGATTCATGGATGCCATGGGCAAGAAAGAGTTGTACTAAATGAAAGGGAAGGGATGGGTTATAGTCTGTACTATTCCAGGGCCCACATTAAGAGGGCATAGTGTATTTGTAGGCAGAGGAGAAAAAGGCATTGAAAAGGGAGAAATTGAAGATGGTGGAGAGATTAGGAGGAGTGAAGATCCAGATAGGTGGGAAGGAATTGGTATGAGGGTATAGGTAGAGCTGTTATTTGAAGAAGGGAAAGAAGGGAGAAAAATAAATATTTAGAAGTGATGCAGTTAGATGTAAGAGCTAAAAATTTGTAATGACATAGTTAAGTGGAACCTTAGTTCATCTGCCAATAGTGAAGAAGAATGCTGGGAGTGAAAATTTAAGGAGAGTAGGAATGATAAGACTGCATTTTTTTAAAAATGTATTTTCTGATTCAGACTTTTCTGTAATTGAAGATGTTCTTATACTCAGTGCATCATCCATTAACATAGTCCTGAAATGTGACAGAATCAGCATACGCAATTATTGATTGCTATAATGATATATTAGGAACAGTAAAGCTGAGTTACTAATATAGCAAGAAAAGGCAGTTTTGTAACCTTTGCTCTCATTAAAATTTAAGCAAATAGAAACCACTTAAATTTTATCTATTGATTCAAGTTGAAAGTAATTTTTCCCTTCTCTGATCTCATAGAGAGAGATATGTGTGTGTATGTATGTAAACATATATATGGATATATACATATAATCATACCCGTATTTTCATGTGCATAGATACATGTGTATATGTATAGGTATATAGGCATATACCTATACATAGACATACATTAGTCTATTGATATAATGCCTTCTTATATTGTATAATTTTTATCCATGTTTTTCTTTAAAAATAGACATTAGTCTATAGATATAGCATGTCTTCTTATATTGTTCAATTTTTGTCCATGCTTTTCTTTAAATCTTTCATAGAGCATCTACCCAACATGCTGGAGACTTTCTGGTTTGTTTTATTTATCTGTTTATTTATTCATTCATTAATTAAGTCATTTATTTCTGATTCTTTTAATGGTTCATAGGCCCCAGTTCAGCAGTCTGCTTATCTGTTATTCTATTATGTCTAGTATGTTGCTAACCTACGTTTTCTGATAGTCCACATCTTTGATGATGCTTTTATACAGATTCTTCTGAGCACTAGGACAGCATGTACTTTGCGCAGAATCTGCCATGTAGTTGGACAGATAGCCTGGTGAGTTAGCCCATCAACTTACGTGTTTCAGATAGGCATCCTAGATGTAGTGAGCTGGGCCAAGAATTCAGTAGGAGCAAGAGATCCAACTGGTTTCTATTTGACAAAACTGTATAGCCCACTTTTAATACTAACATTCCTTTGAAAAATATCTTTATATAAACATGTATTTCATAACCAACAAAAATAAACAAAGCATAATGGAAAATGACTTTATAAATCCACAAGATCCAAGTTATTTACAACTTTTAATCCCTAATAACTTCCCAGTGATACTATTATATGCTGTAAATCATGGAACATCAGGATCTCAGAAGAATCAAAATTGTAGGTGATCCAAAGGGCAATAGAAAGACTCTATAAGTGGGCTATAGAAAATTACCCCAGATGACTTATATGTTTAAAATATTTTAATTTGTATTTTAAATATTGGTGGCATATCTCCTCCTACTAGATTTAAATTCCTTTAGGATAAGGAACGTACTTTATCTTTTATTTCCTCTATTGTGTAGTTGATTACACTAGTATCCTCAAACATCTTTAATAAATGTTTGTTGAATGACTTTCTCCCTGTCACACTTAAAAAAAATATATATATATATATATATCTATATATATATATATATATATATATATATATCTATATACACACACACCTTCCTGGGAGGGTAATATATTTAGTCCTGAATACTTGAATGTGAGTGAGTTTATTAGATTCTTTCCTTGATTACTGAAAAGAAAGGGGTGCTTAGATTTTAGGCCTTGTGGGGAGATGGAACAATGATGATAGTAAGAGGTGAACAGGATGGGAGAAATGGAAGCTTATAGGGGCACAGAAAAGAAACTGCTTCATAATTTTGCTTTGGGGACTAGTTTTTTTTTTTACTAGTTTTTACTAAAAACTCCTTGTTTTTACACCTTTAAGGTACCACATGAAACCTATCAGATTGGCTAACATGACAAAACAGAAAAATGATATATGTTGGAAGAGATATGGGAAAATTGGAACATTAATCCATTGTTGGTAGAGTTGTGAATTGGTCCAACCAATTTGGAGAGCAATTTGGAACTATGCCCAAAGGGCTATAAAAATGTGCATACTCTTTGACCCAGCAATTAGCACTTCTAGGTCTGTATCCCAAAGAGATCATAAAAATGGGAAAAGGACCCACATATACAAAAATATTTATAGCAGTTCTTTCTGTGGTGGCAAAGAATTGGAAATTGAGAGGATGCATCTCAATTGGTGAATGGCTGAACAAATTGTGGTATATGAATGTAATGGAATACTATTGTGCTATAAGAAATGATGAGCAAGTGGGGTTCAGAAAAACCTGGAAAGACTTGTATGGACTGATGCTGAGTGAAGTGAACAGAACCAGGAATACATTTACACAGTAATGGCCATGTTATGTTATGACTAACTTTAATAGATTTAGCCCTTCTCAGCAATGCAAGGATCTAAGACGTCTCCAAAAGTCTCATGATGGAAAATATTATCCACATCCAGAGAAAAAACTATGGAGTTTGAATGCAGATTGAAGCATACTGTTTGCTCTTTTTTTCCCTTCGGTTTTGTTTTATTTCTTCTTTCTTGTGGCTCCTCCTATTGGTTCTAATTCTTCTTTACAACATAACTAATGTGAAAATATGTTTAATAGGAATGTATACTTAGAGCCTATATCAGATTGCATGCCGCTTTGGGGAGGGAGGTCAGGAGGGAGGAGGAGAAAATTTAAAACTCGAAAGTTTATGGAAATGAATGTTAAAAACTAAAAATAAATTAATTTTAAAGAAGATTTTTAAAAAGCCACCCCCTTTTTTTTAGTAAATTTGACAGGGGAGTGATTTCTCGTTTTGAATAGAAGAAAATCTAATAGCAAGAGCATTTCTTAGACCATGTACAGCTCAAAACGGGTGGGGGGGAGTAGTATTGTCTTTGTTTTTAAATGATATTCCAAATTAAGAGTTTAACTAAAACATTTATCTCACAGTAAAACAATGCTCATACAAGCAAATAAGCTGCCCCATTTGGCAATAAACCAGTAAATATTTTCATGACTAAGTAATTTTCATGTCTTTAATATTTACCTTCTTTTGTTTTCAGAAGTGAAGAAGTAAATTGAAATATAATGGAAGCTACAGTAATATTACCCATTCTGAAGAAAAAACTAGCCTTCCTTTCTGGTATGTTTTTTTTTTCTTTCAATCAGGTGTTTTATAGCTGTTATCTAGTTTTGACTCAGAGGTAGCTGTTTGGACTTTATTTCTCTGATAAGTTCGACAGAAATGTACTTTGTTTTTGCACAAGAACCCTTTTCAAAGGTATCTGTAAGACATCTTTTAATCTGAATGAAAATCTGGGCCGGCCAGTGTTTTCTTATTCTGTCCTCTAATTTGATTAAAATGACCTCCACAAGGAAGGTATCCTAATGTTTTTACTTCCTTTATAAAATGTGATAATATAGGCCAAGAATAATTGACTAACTGGCATCCAATTACTTGATTTTGTAATATAGTTTTTGTAGTATCATTATCTTCCTTCACCTTCCAGTAGAGAAAGTTTGAACACACAGGAGAGTTATGATGCATTAATTACATTATTTTCATTTAAAATATTTTAGGATTTTGAGTCTGATTAGTTGAATGATATACCTCACAAAAAAGTCTACCTGAACTCCTAACAGGAATCTTTATTAATTGGGAAATAAAAATGACATTAATATAGCTTGATAACAGTGTCGTAGAAGCTTAGTACTTTCTGCTGTTTATCCTTTGAAAGTTATGCAATTTCACAAACTTGCTGTTTTTGGATTCAGTGTAAGAAACCCATTAACGTTATCTCTGTATTATTGAGCAGTGAGGAAATTGGCAGTCTTTGCTTAGGGGGAATGAAAACTACCTTGACATTTAAGTTAACTAATGTATTTCTTTCACACACACACACACACACACACACACACACACACAACCTTGGGTTATACTGTGGCTATATCCTAGGTTCTGTGGATACAATAACATAAAACAAACAGACCCTGCTTTTGAAGAGTTTCCATTCTTTATGCTCTAGAGAATGACAACATATACCCATATAACCACATATAATTTTATGGAGGAGGTATGAGTAACTTGGGAGATCAGGGAAAGCCTTGTGTAGTAAGCAGCATTTGAATTAATTTGTGAAGAAAACTGAAGATTTTAAAGGTGAAAGTGACAAGGGAATACATTCCGGGCATGAGGGATAATGTGGGAAAAAATGTGGATATGAGCTGAAATGTCATATGTGAAAGACAGCAAAATGACCTAGTTTGGATAGAACAAAGAGTAATACGTGAGGCTGGAAAGGTAGGTCAGAGCTAGGCTGTGAAGGTCTTTAAATGTTACGACAGCAGAGTTTTATTTTTATTTTTATTTTTTAATTTTTAGAAGTTATAAGGAGTTATTAGAATTTATTGACCAGGAGAATGACATAGCCAGCCCTGAGCTTTAGGAATATAATCTAAGCAGCTGTGTAAAGTGTCTGTTAGAGAGGGGAGAGACTAGAAATAAAGGAGGTGATTGCAACATTTGTTTGCTGAAGTGATGAGTTCCTCAACTAGGATGGCAGCCACTTGAGTGGAGCAAACAGATTGGTTAAATAAGATGTTGCAGAGAAGACTTGGCAAGTGATTAGCTTTGTAATATGAGAAATAATGAGAACTTGAGGATAATTATGAGCTTGCAAGCTTGGGTGACTGGAAGAACGATGATACAGTAGAAATTCAAAGGAAGGATGAGTTTTGGAGGAAAGATAATAAATATAGTAAAGATAATAATAATAAAATATATTTTCTTCTTTCATTAAATACCAGCTTTCAAGATGTATTTTAAAGTTATTTCCCATTCATTTTATTATCTCTTTTGTGTATTCATTCATCAGTTAATATATTTTTGTATGTAAGTGTCCTTTTCTTCTATCTTTGGTATTGGTGAATCATAGTGTGTGTGTATCTGTGTGTGTCTGTGTCTGCATGTGATTTTAGTAACTTTTGGACATAGTGATGTGCTGGTAACTGTTTAAAAGCCATCACTCCAAAAAGAATTTGTTCAGACTAAAAATTTAACTATGTTTTTTTTTAATTGATCACAAGGCAATAACAAATATATTCAATAAAGGGTCCTTGGGGAAAGAAGTAAAAAGTGACTAGAAACAAAAAACATAATTATAAAGAACTAGTGGGTCAAAGAACAGATAATAGAAAAAAATAGAAAACTTCATCTAAAAATTGTAATAATAAGACAACAAATCAAAACTTCTGTAATGGAACAAAAGAACTTGTTCAGAGAAACTATATCTCTAACTTCTTTTATCAGTAAAAGAGAAAGAACAATGGGTACCTAACTTTAAAAAAACAAAACATTGAACAGCAAATCAAAACCCCCTAAACAAAAACTAGAAATTGTGAAAATTGAAGAAGAGATAAGGTTAGGGTAAAGGTAAAGAAACCATTGAACTCATAAATATATCTAGGAGTTTTTTTTAAATTTTAAGTAAAAAGCTAATAAAATAGGAAACCAATTAGCTGCTCTTGTTTTTTTAAAGAGAAAAACTGATGAGGAAATACAAGAAATTATCAGAAACTTTTGCCCAATTATATGCTAATAAAATCGATAACTTAGATGAAGACTAACAAAAGAAGAAATAGACTATTTAAGTAACCCAGTCTTAGCAAAAGAAATTGAAAAGACATAAATGTACTCCCAGAGGAAAAACATTCCAGGGCCAGATGGATTTACCAGTGAATCTTATCAAACATTCAAAGAACCATTAATTCTAATATTACACAAACTATTTGCAATAATAGGAAAAGAAGGAACCTTTCCATTCCATCCCTGTGATACAAATATGATCTTGACACCCAAACCAGGGAGAGACAAAACAGAGAAAGAAACCATAGGGAACATCCATGCAAAAAGTTTAAATTAAATATCAGCAAGTAGATTGCAGCAGCATATTCTAACATTCATTTCTAAAACTTTTGAGTTCCAAATTCTCTCCCCACCTCCCTCTCCACTCACCCTCATTGAGAAGGCAAGCAATTCGACATAGGCCATATGTGTGTAGTCATACAAAACACTTCCATAATAATCATGTTGTAAAAGACTAACTATATTTCCCCACATCCTACCCCAGTCCCTATTTATTCTATTTTCTCCTTTGTCCCTGTCCTTCCTCAAAAGTGTTTGCTTCTGGTTATCCCCTCCCCCAATCTGCCCTACCTTCTATCACCCCTCCCTCTCTTATCCCCTTTCCCCCTACTTTCTGTAGAGTTTGATAGATTTCCATTCAAAAGGCAGTTTTCAAAGGAAGAAATCCAAGCTACCAAAATAGCTCTATTGAAAAAAAGCTCAAAATTACCAATAATTAGAGAAATGCAAATTGACCTTGAGGTTCCACCTTATACCCATCAAATTGGCAAAGATGGCAAAGGAGGTGATTGGCAAATGTTGGAGGGGAATACAGGAAAACACAAATGCCAATACGTTATTGGTAGAGCTTATATCATCCATTCTGGAAGGCAATTTGTAGCTGTGCGCAAAAGGGCATTTGGTAAACTGTTCTTTTGTTCTTTTTCTAACTTTTTTAGTTGCATGCCCAGTTCATTGATCTCCTCTTTCTCTATTTTATTCATGTAAGCATTTAGAGAAATAAAACTTCCCCTAAGAAGCGCTTTTGCTGCATTCCAGAAGTTTTGGTATGTTTTCTCATTACTGTCATTCTTTTGTATGAAGTTATTGATTGTTCCTATGATTTGTTGTTTGACCCACTCATTGTTTAGGATTAGATTATTTGGTTTATAATTAATTTTTAGTCTCTCTTTCCATGGCCCTTTATTACTTGTAATTTTTACTGCATCATGATCTGAAAAGGGTGCATTTAATATTTTTGCCTTTCTGCATTGGATTATGAGGTTTTTATGCCCTAGTACATGGTCAGTTTTTGTGTAGGTGACATGTACCACTGAGAAAAAGGTATATTCCTTTATATCCCCATTCAATTTTCTCCAGAGGTCTACCATATCTAACTTTTCTAATCTTCTATCTCTTGTTTTGTCGTAAAGTCTTCTCTTATCCATAGATCTGACTTTATTACTTTTCTTGGGTAAGAACTCTTGTTGATTGAATTAGTCAATTAGAACTAGTTGTGAACAAATTCGGTACACTTTCTTGAAGCAGTAAAAGGCATATGAATGAAGTCTTGGTCACATTTTGAGTTACCTGTATAAAAAGTGGAGCTACCTCAACTGGAGAAAGATTTAGAAGGTCTGGTAGCAGAGAGGAAAGAGTGGACCAGCAACAAGAGGAAGAGAAGGTAGTACTGAGCTGTGGCAGATAAGGGAGAGATTGAGAGATTCTATAGTATAGGATAAAATTTTTAAAAATCTGTAGCCTAGTGTGTTTGAAGCCCTCCCCCCGCCTTCATTTCCAGCTATTTCATATTACTCCCCTCCAAGAACTCTCTATACAGTCAAATTGACCTGTTCCTTGTTCTCTTTGGGCTACATTACATCTATTTACTTACTATGTCTTTTTTTTTTTACCTTTTTTTACTTACTATTTCTTGAATGCATTCCTTTGTTACCAATCACCTTCATGGAATCCCTAGCTTTCTCAAAATAATTCATCAGCATCTTATATGAATCATTTTTTTGAAACCCTCCCCCAGTTATCACCATTCTCACATTCTTAAAATTGCTTTGTATTACTTTATTTATTCTTTGCATTTATTTATTTATTTATGTATATGTTGCATCCTCTAGTAGACTGTAAGTTCTTAGAATGCCTTATAAATAATAGGTACATGATAAATGTTTGTTGAATTGAAAAAAAAGTTACTAAATACCTACAGTATGCCAAGACTGTGCTAGAAACTGAGCATTCAAAGACAAAATGGAAAAAAAAAACAATTCCTGACTTCTTACAGTTCTTTGAAACAGTTTTTCTAGTTCTTTTCCACATGATTATGTAATGGATTTAGTTTATTTTCATTTTAGTACTTTCAGTCATTGACTTATTTTTGTCCTATAGAAAGATGTTTACATCTTTTAGTCTATTTCATGATGCCATGAAAAGCAGTTAAGTTGTGGTAGATAAAGGACCAGCCATGAAATCAGGAAGATGTGGGTTAAGGATTTTGGTACACGTAAATCACTTCATCTTGAAGTGCTCCAATCAGCTCTCTCAAACTCTATGTTGTAGATTAGTTGCTGATCTGCATGAGGGATATAATTTCTGTACTGAGAGTTCTCCATACCCACAACCATCCCCCCCAAAAGAGGAGAAAAAAAAACTATCATAGATGATAGCTAGGTTGCAAATGTAATTGCTTTCTTTGTTTCTGCGCATGAATTATTTGTATAGTGCTATAGTGTCAATTGAGCAATGACCATGTAATTTTTTTCTTTCCCAGGGGAAAGGACAGACGAAGTGGCCTCATTCTGACGATTCCATTATGCCTCGAACAGACAAATATGGATGAATTGAGTGTTACTTTAGACTATCTTCTCAGCATTCCAAGGTGACTCTAAAGGTGTCATTTTTTCCCACTTTAGCATATTTATTTACTTACTGCTAAAGTAAGTTTACTTTTGAAGTATAAACCCAGAATCTTACCTGTTCTCTTAGCAGGAAAAAATGTGTCTTAAATGTGATTTAAAAGTTTGAAAAAACCTGTAATAAAAGTCCATTGTACAACAGATCAATTAGGAATTGTGCTAAATTTATATTACAAAAGGGTTATTTGCCATACAAGGGGATTTATTACATAGCTTATATAAGTCATAAGGACCCTTTATTCATTAGGGAACATTCCTTATCCCTTTCTATTAAATTATACTTAAGAGATATAAGAAATTGGATGCTTCCTTTAGTATATTGCAGCAATGTTCTTGATGTTGTGAGGAAACTAATATGCATAGTTATTTTAAAACATTTTTTATTCAGAATATGTTATTGCTGTTCACTTAAGAATTCTCTCTTAAGAAACATGAAAAATTAGAAAGTAAATCTCCTAAGAGCTAAAAATTTCCTTGATATAATTTGTGAAAATCTTCCTATATCATTCAGTCTACAAGTAATAAGTAAGAATAATTGTGTACTAGGTACCAGGGATATGAAATCAGAAATGAAACAGACCCTACCCTCAAGGAGCTTACATACTAACATATAAATACACACATGCACACAGGCATACACAACACATAATACACATACATCTTACACACATACAGAATACAGGCATACATGCAGAATGCATATGTATACATAAAAAAAAGAAGGTAATTTTTTGAGTGAGAAGCACCGAAAGCTTGCAAGATCAAGAAAGACTTCATTTAAAAGTTGGGACTTGAAGTGGCTTTGAAAGAAACTGGAGATTCTGAGTCATAGAAGTAAGAAGGGAGTGCATTCCAGGTGTAGAATAGGAGGTAGATCAGGGATAGTCTGAGTGAAGGCTTGGACGGAATAGAATGTGTGAGGAACAGCAGGCTGCCAATTTGGTTGAATCATAGAATATGTGAAGGGGAGTAATATATAGTAAGGCTGTAATGATATCTGGAGCCAATTTCTAAAGGACTTTAAATGCCGAACAGAGGATTTCTTATTTAATCCTAGAGGTAACTGGACGCCATTAGATTTTATTTAGCAGGGAGTGACATAGTCAAATCTGTGCTTTAGGAATATCACTGTGGCAGCTGAAAAGAGGATGGATTAGAGAGGAGAGGGACTTGAGGCAGGAAAAGCAAGGGGATAACTGCAGTACTTCTTTGAACAGGTGATGTGAGCCTAATCTAGAGTGGTGGTTGCTTGAGGGAAGAGAAGGGAACGCATAAGAAGGAAAGGATGTTGCAGGGGTAAGATTTAAAAATTGATACAGGGTGAGAGAAAGTGAAGAGTGAGGATGACACTGAGATTAAGATTCTGGGTGACCAAAAGGATGGTCAGAGTAAGAAAGTTCAGAAGAGAGGTGGGATTTGGGGAAAGGATAATTATTGGGGAAATAACTGGGGATTGTATTGATAATTATAAGAATAATTGGGATAATAATTGAGGAAAGTTTTCTTTTTGACATGTTGAATTTGAAAGGCATATAGGAAGGATATCTAGTGTGAAATGTCCATTAGGCAGTTGATGATGTAGTACTGGAGTTTAGGAGTGAAGATAGGACTGAATAAACGGACCTAGAAGTAATCTTCATAGACACGATAAATACTTATGAGCTGATTAGTTCACCAAAAGAGACTGTAAACAGAAATGAAAAGTGGGCTCAGGGTAGAGCCTTAGGGCACATCCACAGTTAAGGGGAAGGATGTGATGGATTATAATTCAACAAAGGAGACTGAGTGGGAGTGGTTGTGCAGGTAGGAGGAAAACCAGGAAAGGAACAGTGTCATGAATATCCAGAGAGGAAAGACTATCAAGGAGAAAGGGGTGTTTAAAAATATCTAATGATGCAGACAGATTAAAAAAAAGAATGTAGATTGAGAAAAGAACATTGGATTTAGCATATAAAAAATTACTGGTAACTTTGCAGAGAACAATTTCAGTTGGATGATGAAGTCATAAATCAGATGTAAAGCATCCTGCCTAGATTAGTAGACCTAGAATTGAGGAGTGTTTCCCAATGTTTAATTCAGTCCAGTTCATTTCAGTAAACCATGTATAAGGTATTACTCTGGGATCTGGGCATACAAAAATAAAATAAGATAAAAATTCTACCCTCGAGAAGTTTGTAGTCTAATAAAGGGAATAAATATGCTCACAAATATTTATAATACAAATCAGAATGTGAGAATTGCAAAGGATAAAAGTCCACTTGGACATCAGAAAATTACTGGTTTTCCTGCTCCCTCCTTGTAGAATATATGGGTGAAGTGGTGAATAGGAAAAGCAAGAGGGTCATCCATAGTGTGGCAATAAACTGTGGATTGGTCAGAGGACTGACTTCATATTTATCTACTTCTCTGTGGAGTTTCCAGTCTTGCTATGACTGCCCTTTGGGCTTCCTCCTCTTATTGAGTTGAGTATAGGAAACAGGATTTGGAGAGAAAGTCACAAAGATTTAGAGAATGAAAAGATAAATAATGTTTAAATTAAGATAATTGAAAACAAATTGCAGGGATGGAGCCAAGATGGTAAAGGCAATAATCCAGCTGAACTCTTCCAGTATTCACTTCCAACTTTAACTCCTCAAATTAAATTTTGGATCAGCAATCCAAACAAAAGGTTAGGGTGAGACATTTTTTAGCCTACAACAACTTAGGAGGTTGACAGGAGAGGTCTGTAACACTGGGGTGTGGGGAGTTGGCTTAGAATGCATGTGGGCTATCGCAACAACAGCTTTGGGAGCTCTCTGGCCAGACATGGTAAGGGGGTTGGACAACTAGTCAGAAAGAGAATACAGGAGATCCTTTGCAGGCAGAGGGTGCTGTTGGCAGTGATTGGCAGCCTTGTGGCCCATATGCAGTTCCAGGGTAGAGAGGAGTGATTGTGATCTGTCACAGCAGAACATGAGTCCAGGGCCAAGAGGAGCAGTAGAGCTTGCGAGTAGAGAGGAACAGTGCCCCTTCCTGGATAAAAACCAGAGTGGAGACCAGGGCAACAGTGACCGCATTTCTCCATGGCTTGCCACCACCCTGGAAGCACCAAAAACTTACAGATCTCTGGAACTAACTCTGAAAATAGCAGCACAAAAAAGCTTGAAGTTTGGGACGGTACCTTCTCACTCCCAGGTGAGCAGAATCAAACTTTAACATAAAGTTCAAAGTCAAGAAATAGGCTGTAAAAAATGAGCAAAGAAGAAAAAAAAGAACTTGGCCATAAAAAGCTACTACAATGGTAGACAAGACCAAGATAGAATCTCAGAAGGTAACAATGTGAAAAACCTACAGCCAAGCCTCAAAGAAAAATACTGATTGGACCCAAGCCTAACAAGAATCCTAGAAGACTTAAAGAAAGAGATAAAGAATGTTAAAGGGAAAAATAAATGAGAGTAATGCAGGAGAATTACAAAAAGAGAATTAATAGCTTAGTAAAAGAGGTACAAGAAGTACTGAAGAAAGTAATGCCTTAAAAAACAAAATTAGCCTTATGGTAAAAGAGGCACAAAAATTTATTGAAGAAAAGAACTCCTTAAGAAGCAGAATTGGCCAAATGAAAAAGAGGTATAAAAACTCACTAAAGAAAATAATTCCTTAAAAATTAAAATTGGACACCTGCAAACTGGTGACTCTATGAGACATCAAGAAACAACGTAATAACATCAAAAATATGAAGGAAAAATCTCAAGAAAATGTGAAATATCTCATCAGAACAACAGCTGACCCGGAAAATTGATTAAGGTGAGATTATATAAGAATTATTGAACTACCTTAAAGTCTTGATCAAAAAAAGTGTGTAGATGTCATATTTCAAGAAATTATCAAGGTAAAGTGCCCTGATATCTTAGATGCAGAGAGTAAAATAGAAATTGAAAGAATGCACTGATTACCTCCTGAAAGAGATCCCAGAATGAAAGCTCCTGGGAATATTAGAGCCAAATTCCAGAGTTCCCATATCAAGAAGAAATATCGAAAGTAATCAGAAAAAATCAATTCAGATACCATGGAGCCACAGTCAGGATCACACAAGATTTAGTGACTTCCACGTTAAAGGAGGGGAAGGCTTACATACAGGGGTGGGGAACCTGCGGCCACAAGGCCACGTGTGGCTCTCTAGATCCTCAAGTGTGGCCCTTTGACTGAATCCAAACTTCACAGAATAATCCTTGTGGGGCAGGGGGGAAGGAGAATTTGTTCTATGTACCACACTTTACATCAATCACAAATGACAGATATTGGAGGGGATGGGGGAAAATAGGTACACTAACAAACTGTTGGAGTTATGAAGTGGTCCAACCATTCTAGAGAACAGTTTGGAACTATGTCCAAAGAGCTATAAAACTGTGCATACCATACCTTTGACTTAGCAATACTGCTACTAAGTCTGTAGTCTTTCTTTTATTTTCCTTTTTTTTTTTTTGGCTAGGCAGTGGGGTTAAGTGACTTGCCCAGGGTCACACAGCTAGTTAAGTGTCAAGTGGCTGAGGCCAGATTTCAACTGAGCTGGAGCTCTATCCACTACACCACTTAGCTGTCCCTTTAAGTCTGTGTTCTAAAGAGATCAAAGAAAATGGAAAAGGACCTATATGTAAATATATATATATGTGTGTACATATGTGTGTGTGTGTGTGTGTGTATATATATATATATATGTATATATATATATATATACATATATATATATATGTATACACACATATGTACACACATATATGTATTTTTATAGTAGCACTTTTTGTGGTGGCAAAGAAGAGGGAGGTGGTTTCAGGAGGAAAAAAACAAAACACCATGGCAAGATCTATGTGAACTGATGCTAAGTGAAATGAGAAGAAACAGGAGATCATTGTGAACAGTGACAACAATTTTGTAATGATGATCAACTGTGAAATATTTCATTACTCTGATCTATACAGTGATCCAA